CTCAGCACAGTCATAGTCATATTCCCGCAATGAAAACATGAACTATTCACAAAAGTTGCCTCAGCGTGCTGAATGCCCAACACGAAAAGGAACTATTGTGACCATCTGCTGGCGCCAGGGAATGACCGCATCCATAAACGCACGAGCGGAAAGACATCCTGAAACATCCTGTTGCTCTTTTAGTGAAAACACAAAAATTCAGTGTCAAAGTACCCAAGGATAGCCGTGGTGTAATCGGGGTACACTCTCAAAGAGGAACGACCACCAAGACCGACACACACACACACACACAAGCAATGCTGTGAAAATCCTTGAGGCCACCACTGATCGCACAGTCACACCAGCAGTGGATACAGAGTCTTGCTTTTCTAGAATCTTAAACATTGCACCAGTCTGCAGAACTCAGTCAGACGAAAGCTCGGCTCCTAAGTGAAAGACAATGTGTGCGTGCGCCCGCTTCCTGTTTATACCCACGCAATGGATCTGTGATGATTTCACTACTAGTTGGCGATCAACAGGCTCAGAATTTCAATAGAATTTTAGACTACTCTCAAAATTCTTAAAAACAAGCTGGATATTTAGCATCATGGCTCACTTACAAACACACACACACACACACACACACACACACACACACACACACATGATCTTAGTAATTTTTATGAGTTTGGAACAACCAACCAACGGTTACCAACGGATTTCGAAGCTGCTATACCCACGCTGCGGAGTGGGGCACGTGATGCGATCCCAGAAGTGGTCCCGATTACATTGTCACGTCGATGTTACGCCGCACGTGATCGACTGAAAGGGAACTAAAATTTTAATAGTAGGTACTCAATCAAAACTGTGGAATTGTGGAAATTTTACACTTACTATCGCCGACTCTGTTATCTTTCTTTCTTCTCAGGTTAAGAGTCTGAGTGTCATCCTGTATTGATAAACTTCAGATGGTTCAGAATTCAGCAGCTTGGATCATTACACAAACACTGTTGAATGAGCATATTACTCCAGTTTTAGGGAACATTCATTGGTTTCCAATCAGATTTCATATCAATTCAAAATTTTACTTTTTACTTTTTGTAAGGTGTCCTTGAGTGTCTTGAAAGACACCCAACAAATAAAATGAATTATTATTATTACTACTAGCTAACTAGCTTTTGACAAATCACTCACTCTATATACTGTAAAAACAAAAACAAACTATGCATACTATATAGTATGTTTACATTTTACAGAACATTTGTATTGTTCATTATTGTGTACAGTCTGATATCCAATATAGCTATATATTGTTTTTTTTGTCTGTGTGGCCATTCATGCCACAAGCTAACTAGCTAAACTTTCTAAACCGCAATGTAACAACTAGCCATGAAGCTTAATGCTAATGGCAGCTAACGTTTAATGTAGCCTTTAGTTATCCTTACTAGCCTACTATCTGTCTGACATGAAAAACACTTCAAGGACCACACCAGGCTTCATACAAGTTTATTTCCAATGATTCCTCGCTCCAAACGTATCAGCATTTATTCTCATATCTATTTCTTTACCTAACAAGTCCAGTTGAAATTTTGGCAATTTCTCAACTTCCGGTTGAAGCTTATTGAACATATAGGACACATACCTCTATTAGAGAATAATATCCTAAGCATTTAAAAAAAGTAAGTCTCTACTCTCTACCCCATACCTGTGAGGAGTAATGCCGTTTAAAGAAACCACCGACATTAGCTAAAACGGCTAAAGCTAGCTAAGTAAACTAGTAGAGAATGAATGCTGCTGCTACAGGGATATGTTTGGGATGAAATCATCAGAAATATTATTGTTTGAAGACTGGTGTGGTCCTTTCAGTTAATTACAATTACAGTATCCATATTACCATTCTTTTCCCAAAACTCTGGGGCAGACCTACCGGTATATTAGTCACTATCACTTACCACAGACAATGATGAGCAGCTTCGAAGTCTGTTGGTAACCGTTGGTAACCATTGGTTGGTTGTTCCAAACTCATAAAAATTACTAAGATCACGTGTGTGCGTGTGTGTGTGTGTGTGTGTGTGTGTGTGTGTGTGTGTGTGTGTGTGTGTTTGTAAGTGAGCCATGATGCTAAATATCCAGCATGTTTTTAAGAATTTTGAGAGTAGTCTAAAATTCTATTGAAATTCTGAGCCTGTTGATCACCAACTAGTAGTGAAATCATCACAGATCCATTGATTTTGTTTGGATTTTTATAATTTTTTCTGTGTAATGAGTATAGTGTTTGGTGAAAAGAATGGCATATTGCCTGATGTCATAACTTAAGGGAATAGTTGATTGCCAATGAAGTAAAGATGAAAATAGTGGAAAATAAGTGAAAAAACGCCTGTTTTTTTGCATTAAATTGATGCGAAATCATGTAGAAATGTGTTTTAAGAATTATTTTTTCAGTGGATGTTGTCTGCACATGTGTTCTGTGTATCTGGAATGCATTTATTGAGAACCTACCCAACCCACTAAGAATTTGATGAAAAAAATAATTTTTCACATTTTTCTGATAAAAAATAAAGGGTGCTTACACTAAAATGCCCACAATTTTTTTTCGCGATATTTCCGGCAGAGCAGACCCTCCAATTATTTGTTCTTAGGGTCAAAGTTAACAGAAAAAACACAAATAAAAAGTATGGCAGACCATGTCAGGTTCAACCCATTTTTGAGACTTTGGCTCCCTGACTAACAATTTCCATTTCAAAATTCCATACTTTTCCAGACTCAAATTTCCAGACCTCATACAGATTTTTCCGACCATATTTAAAGGGGAACTATGCAGGTTTTGTAGCTGAACTGAACAGCTTTGGAGTTATTGGAATGGTTATATGACTTCTTTCTGGTTGAATGGTGGTCGTCTCGCCCCCCCGAGCATTCATTTCGTTCGTTTGTTAAATAAGAGGCGATCTGAAATGTGTTTTTGAAATCAAGTGACCAAAGTGCTCGTTGCGGCTGCGATCAGTAGCGTGAAGGCAGTGTTCTGTTGTGACTCGCACAGCCTTCACACGGACGCACACTTCAATCCGTTGCGGAGAGACTCTCTATGTTTGTTACACAAAACCTAATGCACAAAAAAATGTGTCCCTGCTTGATATACAACCACCAATAAACAATCGGTTTTGATGAGGGAAAAAAAAAACTACTACTACCCTCTGACACGCTTGGCAAAAGTTCTGCCACTGGACCGAGTCGGATCTATGTATTTATTCACGTGAAAAATTCTCAACACTAACAACATATATTAGATCTCATTAAACGACTAATTAAACACAATGTACTATTGTACACTACAGTAAGTAGCACGTCACAAGGACTCCACGGCGACTCCAGGAGTCGCTGTTTGACAAAAACGGAATTACTGCGAAGTGTGCCGTTAACTTGTTCTGATAAATTGTTTTAAAATTCAACTGCTAACAAATATTTTACGTTCCAATGATTTATTATTGGCGTTTTTGAATTTTATTAGAATAGGAGAGTAGATAGACGATCCTGAAGCACAATGGCGCTACATGGTGACGCACTTTCCCACAATGCTAACAGCACCGACAAGTATGTTACACTCTGAGTCAAAATGTGTATGCTATCATGTTAAATTTGTACATTTGTACAGTGCAATGTTGTTCATTTTTGTAATTTTGTAAATTTAAATAACTGTAAACCCCTACAGAAACAAAAGGGATGTTCATGTACAATTAACCAGAAAATTAGAAAATAGAGCTAAAGTCATGTTTAGTTGTTTAGTCAAAGATGTCAAAGTCAAAGATGCTTAGTAAAACTCTGTTTGAGGTAGGGGCGCTGTGATGGCAACTGCTGCCTAACAACCAATCACTGCAGACCTAGACTCAGGCAGATCAAGTGTAAAAACGATCTTTAGGCAGCGCTCGCTGGCAGCCTAATCCAAACGCCAAAAAGATGATTGCATATTATATACATTTAGAAGTGATTAATTTTATATTTAGAAAATGAACAAACGGTACAATAGTCTGGAAACATAAATATTTTTCCATACTCTGATTTACTTTTTCCATACTTTTCCAGACCTGGAAATTACTCAAATCAAATTCCATACTTTTCCAAACTGCGTAGGAACCCTGTGTAACTTATTTAAATATTTATATTTTGTATGTGCTTTTGTTATTTGTATGTGAATGACCGGAAATTTGGTGCACCTGTAATGTTGAGACTTGTCCTTTTTTCTTGATGAACATTTAAACGGTGTGAATGGGGAGCAGCTGTGTTTGAGCCTACATGCATTTTAGCTGAGATCTCGTGTTTTATTCATGAACTTGAAACTTGACTCCCGTTTTATGACGGAAGAGAGGATTATCATAGATTGTTTGCATTCCTTGATGAGCGCAGCGAAGTATGATGTGTTTTCATTCATTGATAATTCATAATATTGTCCATATGTATGGTTTTATGAGCTGTATAATTAATGTTTGTCACCCTAAATGTTTGCTTGTGTAATGATGTTTGTAATCGTGAAAACAAGTGTGTGAAATGTTTGCTGTGTGTATGTTTTCAATACAGTTTTCACAGTGCTATATAAAGGACACATTTGCATCAGTCGAGACTCTCTTTTTTGGATCCAAGGGCTGCTACAATGACGATTAAATTTTACCTCAGATGAAACTCTGGCAGTGTCAGATTATTCGACTCTCAGTCCTACAGTTTGACTTAATTTTGACGGCCAAAGAAAAGCCGTGAACAAAATTAACGTTAGAGATTTGTTTGTAGCCAGTTTCAGTCCCGTGTGTAATGCAGCTCACGGTCACCGAACGCGTCAATTGATTAGTGATATAGAACTTCAGATGAGTTTTCTTGCGCTTGTAACACATCTTGACTGTCACCCAGTCTGACATTAATGACAACTGAGATCTTACAATGTGACATGGCTCACAGCGAGGATCATGTTCGCACAGTCTGACAAGCAACAATCGTAAAGGCGATCATAAATCGCACTTTGCTCTTCGTGAACGCACCTGAGACATGCGTGTGGTGGTGGCCGGCAGCAGCGGGCGGCTGAACTTCTTCTGAGAGCCAATGGCAGCGGGGAATGACGGGGCCGAAAACATGGCCGCCACTGAGTTTATTATCCCAATCCAGGCCTCCATTTCCTCAGGGCTCCTGCAGAGAAGAGGTTTCACAGGCTCACATGACCACAGTTGTGCCAACTCACAGTCAACCTCACGCAGGAATTTGACCACCAGAAGAGACAAACCAGGCTTAATTGAGCTTGAGCTGAAGCATGACATTAGATGTGTGGTTGCGTGTGCAATGTTTGTGTGTAGCAGTGCTGGTGTCTGCGAGCAGATCTTACTGGGCCTGGAAGAGGAACACTCTCCAGTCAGCCGTCTTGAGCTTCAGCACATTGGGCTTCTTCTCGTAGTCCATGGCCTTGATGGCAAGAGCATGATGCACACTGATGGCGTTCTTCAGATCGTCCTCCGACAGGGCCTTCTCTGGCTTATACTCGTCCTACACACACACACACAGTGAGTGAGAGAATGTGTGTTTGTGTGAGTGAGTGAGTGTTATAGTGTGTGTGCGTTTGTGTATGCACTATGTATATGAAGATCTTTAAACTAAAAATACATTTTACTGTGTATTTTTCATGGTTCCTCAATATATGAAGAGTTCAGATGCAAAAGCCTCTGAACGCCATTTGAAATTTTCTTCTTTAATGATGATTTTTATCAAACTTGTATATTTAAGTTCAGTAATTTCACTTAAAGGGTTAGTTCACCCAAAAATTAAAATTAAGTCATTTATTACTCTCCCCCATGCTGTACCAACCCCGTAAGACCTTCGTTCGTCTTCGGAACACAAATGAAGATATTTTTGATTAAATTTGAGAGCTGTATAACCACCACATAGACTGCCTAAGGGACTGCCTCTTGACGGCCCAGAAAGTCAATGAAGAAAATTTTAAATATCCCAAGTGACTACCGTGGCTCAACTATATGTTTATCAAGCGACGCGAATACTGAAAAAACAACGTTGTTGTTTTGTTAAAAACAACAATGTTGAAAAAACAAACAAAAATAACGAGTTTATTCGACTATTTCTTTTGTTCCTTGTAGGCCAGAAACGAGATTTCCTTAGATTTCCACGACGCATGCGCGAGAATTGCTATCTGCTTACACTACTTCAGATCGCAATTCTCGCGCATGCGTCGTGGAAATCTAAGGAAATCTCGTTTCTGGCCTACAAGGAAGAAAAGGAATAGTCGAATAAACTCGTTATTTTTGTTTGTTTTTTCGCACAAAAAGTATTCGCGTCGCTTGATAAACATATAGTTGAGCCACGGTAGTCACATGGGATATTTAAAATTTTCTTCATTGACTTTCTGGGCCGTCAAGAGGCAGTCCCTTAGGCAGCCAATGTGGTAGTTATACAGCTCTCAAATTTAATCAAAAATATCTTCATTTGTGTTCCGAAGACGAACGAAGGTCTTACGGGGTTGGTACAGCATGGGGGTGAGTAATTAATGACTTAATTTTCATTTTTGGGTGAACTAACCCTTTAAATAACAATTAATAGGTAAGTATCATTGCCATTTAAGTAAAATCAATGAACTTAAATATACAAGCTTGATAAAAATGATCATTCTAGAAGAAAATTTCAAACGGCACTTAGAGGCTTTTGCATCTGAACTCTTCATATGAATATTTTCATATTTAATTGCCTTAAAATAAATTATCATCAATTAAGGGACCAGGATGTTGGAGCCATAAAGTTACAATGACAGAATTTACACAATGTTTTCATTATAGTCTATTACTAAATTCATTATACGTCTTAGTTTTCAGTGGTAAACAGGATGAATTGCATTTTCCAGCAGACGGTAGTGATCTGGGAAGGGGAAGTGCGAAGGTAGATAGTTTTTCACTCTATTAAAACTACCTTTTTACACAGCTTTGTTTTCAAGTGTTTACTTGCTTGAAACAAAGTTTTGCTCAAACTTGTTTGGAATAGAATAAAATAAACTTTCCCGTATAGAAGCAAGCACATACAAAAGGAAGCCACTACAAGTTTAATCTTTCAAAGCTTATTATTTCCTCCACAGTAAATGATAACGAGAAAGCCATCCGGCAGCACATCTCCTGCTCCTCTGATGAGAGTCGTTCGGTGTGATTGCTGAACATCATTAGCTGATGAAGCCTGAACCCTGAAGCTGCGGGACAGTCCGTCACCAGCACTAATATAAGCACAGGTAGACCTCTCACGCCGGTGACTTCTGCATCGCTGCACAGCCGAGCAACTCATGCCAGATCAAATGGAGCACATTAATAAACTATTGTACTGCGCTTCTTTCTTTGATGGGCTCTGAAAAGGTCTGTCAGACCCGAAATAAACGTGTGAATGTGATTACCTCTCACCATCTGAGTCCCCCAGGAGGAGAAATTGAATTATTATTGATCACGTTTGCAGGAAATGATGGAAATTTTAATAATCAGCAGTGCGAGGAGGGGGAGATGAAAGAGTGGAAAAACAAACCTTCTGCAAATAGAGGATCATGCCTTTGAGAACAGCATAAAAGGTCTTCCAGCCTCGCTTTCCTCTTGGTGCTAGAGAACACAAACAATGTAAATATTAAAATCATGATGATAATATTCTGCAACATTATTTCAGGGGTATTATTTCTATGTAAAGAAAAATGTATCATTTTTATGTTTTTGATTTAAAGACAAATCAAAGCAGAACTTTTGCTCCATTCATTTAGGAATTACAGCCTATTTGCCAGGGGTCAGACAGCAAGTAAGGTTGACATCGGGACAAAACATATTTTTGACTCTAGATTGCAGGCCAGAACATAATCAATGGATAATTTAAGAAATTAATTGATGAAAAACGCAACTAGAATTGCCTGTGACAGACTGTTACAGTGAGCTCTTACTCTGTGTTAAATCCAAGGACAGTCATTAACAAAAAGCCACATTTGTGTAGGGGTGTCTGGGTACACTGGATACATTAATAAAGCTGTAGGGATGAGTCACGATTTTCGAATATTCGATTTGTTGATTTAATTATAAAAAATCGGATAGGTTGTGCGATTATTGTCCTGATGTTTTCAGTGCTGATTCGGTGGTGTTCATGTAACCAGAGGGTGACGCTGCCAATAACTCAAAAGCTGTCACAAGGAACCGACAAAAGTAATGCTTATAAATGATTCAAATATAGCAAGGAGACATTTTAATTGTTTATTAGTGTCTGTGTCGGCTGCAATTGTGACCGCAGTAGTTAACGCACCTATAAAGAGAAATGCACTTTTCATATGGATTATATAAGCAGAGAGTAGTCTGTTTCTTTTCGTTTTGAATTGTTTCGTTTGAAATTAGACATTTTTAAGCTTTCTATATATTTCTCGTGTCTGTGAGATAGCTTAACCCTCAGACGGTCTTCGTTTCGATGTCACATCCTGAGCCTTCCTGGTCAGAAGTGACCGGACCCCTAAAAATGAAATTTCCTCCATCCCAGTAAAACCAATGCAATTTATTTTTGTTCTATAGTATTTATTCTTTGTAATTTAGTATTTTGAGACAATTTGATTGAATCTATTAATATTTATGCAATATTTATGGTCCATTTTTGCCATGGAAATATAATATATATATATATATATATATATATATATATATATGAAGAGTTCAGATGCAAAAGCCTCTAAGTGCCATTTGATCATTTTTATCAAGCTTATATATTCAAGTTCAGTAATTTCACTTCAATGACAATTAATAGGTAATCTTCATTGCAATTTAAGTGAAATTACTGAACTTAAACATACAAGCTTGATAAAAATGATCATTCTAGAAGAAAATATCAAATGGCACTTAGAGGCTTTTGCATCTGAACTCTTCATATATATATGTATATAGATCATGACCTCAAATTCTTTGTGTGTTCACATACATAATGCCATAAAAGTCACCAAGTTTCGTAACATTCCGATGAATTTTTAGAAATTCAAAACAGAAAATTTTACGGTCATAAATGACCGAAGACCGTTTGAGGGTTAAATGCTGAATTTCGGTTCATTTATAAGAGCTCCAGTTCACAAGCAATGCAATCTTGCCGGCGCCTCCATGTCCTGATTATATTGTCTGCTATATTTACTTCTTATTAAATCCAGGCAATTGGATGACAAAACCTTGATTAAAAATAAGATACAAATGATACAAAATTAAATTAAATTTTTAGAAAGGCTTTCTACAAAACAAAACTTAATGAAGTGGTCAAAATCATGACTGACCCACCCCCGTCACCCGATATATTGCGGCAACTTGCAACACATCCCGCGTTGTCAAAACACACGTACGCTATTATGTTGTGTGTGTAGAGTGATGTTACCATTGAAGCTAGCTGGTGAGAGAAAATGACACTATCAAAGAGTTTAAAGAGGAAAGTTGACAGCAAAAATAGCCATACAAAGAATAATGAAAAGACGATTGTGTGTTCATCCTAACTAGTTTTGAAAATGCAAAGCCAGTGTGTCTTATCTGCAACGACAACCCAATCCAACTAAATGCGTCTCTATAGCACGCATTGTTTTTGTCGTGCAATTTATATGCAAAAATTTGTTTACGTCCATATGATATGCATGGGTAGGTTTAGTAGTGGTGTGGGGTGCGTGTGTATTATACGCAATAAAGCGCATAAACACAACGCATGCTATACAGACGCATTTAATATAATATTAGACATTTCATGGTGGTTATTTTAGAGGTGTGTCTAGCGATCCACACTCACAGACTCTTTTGAATGTCTTTCAGAACTTTTCAGGCTGCGCCGCGGTTTTGGCCCATGGGCCGCCTGTTGCGACCAATGCTATTTGCACTGAAAACCAAAGTGACATGTTCCAGAGAAAAAATAAAACCACCCAGACTGCATAAGTGAGCACACCCTTTTATAAATGTGTATGTGACTGTGTTGAGAATGAACTAATGATCAAGCTTCAGTGCCTTCAGCATTAACTCCAGATAAACCCTGGCTGCTCCTGAAGGATCTTCTTAGTTGCTTCGACTACAGGAGCCATGGATCATTAGTCAAAGGTTTTGTCAATGTTCAAAGGTTTTTGTGTGCCCTTTCTTGCCCTTCATTTCTTGAAAACATTTCCAAAGCATCAGAAAAACCATGGAGCACAGTGAAGACAGTCTTCAAGTGGAGAAGTGCGGCAGAACAGTCACGATCAAGAACAGGGTCAAAACTGATGAGAAGACGGCTCTCTGGTTTTGTCCATCCTTCTGTTAGACTCTCACACATGAATTATGGTGAATATCTGTCAGCTGTTAAATTTAACTACACAATTAGATAATACCAGTTTAGCTCAACCAGTGACCAAGCAATGCTTCATGTTTTTCAGTCTGTGTGTAAAAAGAGCATTACCAATTAAAGAAAAAACACTCAATATAATGTGATCAGGTCAAAGTGTCTGAATAACGTTTGGTCCCAAATTTTTATACATTTTACACATAGTCACTGTTCGAAGAATTTTTGGGAATAAGATGTCAGTTATATATATAACTATAGTGCCCTGCAGACACTAGTAAAATATATATATATACACACATATATATATATATATATATATATATGGGGACTTAGCCATTTTTGGTTCGACTCTATCTCCCATATTCTCTCTCTTTATGGCTATTGGGCAGAACGCCAAGATGCAAAACTTTGACACAAAAGAAAAACATCCAAGCCTGGCTAAACTCTGCAAAAACCTTTATCAACTCTCCCAAAACCATGTAAAAAGTTTGAAAGTGAACAGAATGGCCATGGTGAAGCATGATGGTGCAGAAGCCGGCTTCAGTGGAGGAGAGGGGAATCATGAGTCGCTCCAAGAACCAGTCAGTTTTTGGCACAGAACCTTCTGGCATCTGACAGAAAGCTGAATATGAAGAGAACTTCCACCTCAGCATGACTGATCCAAAACAATGATCTGAACCAACGGTAGAAAGACTTCAGAAAAGACAGATCAATGTTTGAACAACCCAGTCAGATCTGAACATCTGTGCACAGGACATGCAAAACGTGTCAATCTGGTTTTCAGTGGCATCGCATAGATTGTAATTTTACATTAAACATGCAAAAGTTCTGAAATTATCTGATTTATTGATCAGATGATTTACATCACAAAAACAGGTGTGTGTACTTTTTATATTCACTGGATGTGCTACTATTTTCCACTCAGTAACATGGCTGTTAAACTCCATAAACCACTAATAAAAGATATAAAACTAACATAACTGTAGTCCATATATGACTCGCACCATTTTTTAAGTCTTCTGAAGTCCTATCCTTTTTGTGAGGAACAAACTCAAATTTAAGATTAAGGATGCACAATAGGCATGGGCGGTATCCAAATTTTCATACCGTCAAACCTCCTCCCTATTTTACCGCGGTATACGGTATTACCGCGTGACTAATTAAAAATTACGAGATAAGGCTCAGACGGCATCACACATGATGACACGTTCAACCAGAGAGTGTCGGTTCCAATAATGCATCTAAAAGCTGTCAATCAACTATTAGAAAACAGGAGGTGCACATTGTCTCACACCAGAGAATGTGAGCAGAGTGGTGATATTTCCTCTAGAGAGGGGAGCGCATTTATGGAGATCACGCGCCACGAGCTCTGTCCACTCGGCGACGCGAGCCGAGTGGAGCCGAGATAAAATTATTTATTAATAAACTAGTGTTTTTGTCAGTTGCTGCAAAGATAAAGATTGCATTGACGATGCAAACTGGCATCTTCACGGTAGTGAACACGAATAAAGAGTAGCCTAATGCACACTTCATATGAATAAGCCTATAGCAGAGAGCAGCCCATTTCTTTTAGCTTGTAATTGTTTTGTTTAAAAGTATAGACATTTCAAGCTTACTATATATATACTGTACACTTCTCAGATCATTAAGACATGCATCTTATATGCCGAGTTTCAGTTCATGTATGAATCGCGCTCCAGTCACGGGTCGGCGCGTGTCCTGATTACTATCTTTGCTTTGTATTTATTAATCCAGGCAATTCGTTGATGAAAAAAATAAATAAATGAAGATGCAATTTATTCAAAACGAAATTCGTTTTAAAGAAAGGCTTTGTACAAAACAAAACATAACAAGTGGTCATAATCATGTCTGACTGACTATGTCAGTTGCTGCAAAGATAAAGACTGCATTGACGATGCAAACTAGCATCTTCGCGGTAGTGAACGCGAATGAAGAGTAATGCACACTTCATATGAATTAGCCTAAACATAAGCAGAGAGCAGCCAATTTCTTTTAGATTGTTTGTTTTGTTTAAAAGTAGACATTTCAAGCTTACTATATATATACACTTCTCAGATTACTCACTTGTTTCTTATATGCGAGGTTCAGTTTATGTATGAGTCGCGCTCCAGTCACGCGCCGGCGCGTGTCCTGATCACTATATTTGCTTATTATTAATTAATCCAGGCAATTCGTTGATGAAAAAACATTAAAATGAAGATGCAATTTATTCAAAACGAAATTCGTTTTAAAGAAAGGATTTCTACAAAACAAAACGTAATAAGTGGTCATAATCATG